TTTGTAACTAATTTTCTTACGAATTGTACAAGCACATATTTAAAATGACACAAAATCGGAGATTAGAAAAACAAAAAATAATCAAGCTCTGTGCAAACCGGGGACATCAACTAAAGAACATTTACGTACAACAAGATTTTGTCGCCCGCAGTGTTGACTGGTCAACTTGCCAACTTGACTTGACGCCCATGACATTAGGGTCTGGTGACTTTGTCTGTGTGTGTGTGTGTGGGTGTGCTGGGTGTGCTGTGTGTGCTGTGTGTGTCCGTGTGTCTGCCAGTGTACTTATGTATATTTCATGCAATATCCTGTTGAATATTTAAATTGTGTACACAATTTCCGGAGCAATGAGTTTGACAATGGAATCATTAAGAAAAGATAACTGAACCGGGCTGCAGAGTACAGATAAGAACGCCTGACTGGACACCCACCGCAATACGGTTCAAGAGCCGAGCTAAAGTTTTGCATGCATTTCAGCTCGTAAATCCGAGTTTCATACACAAATACAAATACAAACACAAACACATCCACATACCCAGAATGCGTAAATGCATTTGCTATCCTTGTACGACTGTTTGTATGACTAAGACTGTGCTAAGATAATTTGTCTAATGTGTCTGTGTGTTTGTGTTATTGTCTGTGATTGCATTTTTGTTTTTTTTTTTGCTCTTGTGGTATTTGTTTTGGCTGGCACATAATTTATCAGGCAAGCAGCGACATGCGCCGGCCAAATTGACAATTAAATAGAGACAGAGTGTGCGGCAAAGAGCGAGAGGGGAATACACTCGAGAAAACTTGATTAAAATTGAACAGGGCAACAATAACGAGGCAGAGAGAGAGAGAGAGAGAGAGTGGGAGAGGGAGAGAGAAAAGTGTGACAAAAAAGAATGAGTTGCACGTGCGTTCAACGCAGATGCTTGCCAAGTGCTACACAGCAGGCAACAACTCATACACACATACTCACGCACACACACACACACTGGTCATTGCCAATATAGGAGGCAGTCCAGACAGGCGTCCTGTCCGTACGTGACCAACTGCAAAGCTGTCAAAAGTTGTGAAAATTAAAAAATAAACTCAAACAAATATGCGCGACGGCAAGAATTGTGGCAACTCTCCACAAAAGGGGGCAGCCTGAACAAAAGCCATCCATAAAATACACTTGGCGGCTGCTATGCCTGCAGCAAGCTAAAGACCTGTAGTCCTGTAGAGACAATGTTGCTTTTGCCTTAAGTCGTAACCTTTTTGAAGCCGCTTAAAGAGGCACTAGGCAAGTGACATTCTTTGGATAAACTGTTGCGGAAGATTTTCATAATTTATCACAGGGCATGTTCTTATTTTATGAAGGAAGCTCTTCGGTTATAAATAGTGTCGGAAAATATACTGGTAAAGAGGATAAAAAATTTGCGTTGGTCGCAATGAAGTAGCCTGTAATCTTTGTTAATATTTTATTTTTGTATTTTATCTCATTTAGAACTCCTTAAGGCTTCTTTGAGCTACAATAAATGCCTGCAAATTGTATTCTTTGCTAATTTCAAATTTGTTAAAGTGCCTCGACTTAAATAACGTTTTGCGGCAGTTTAATGAGTGGTCACATAAATGCATACAAAATGCACCCCAACCTGGTCCCGCCCCCTTCTAAAATGACAGTAAAGTTTCTGTACGCTTGTTGCGACACAGTCACATCAATGAGTCCCCGCGGTGACTTGCAGATGCAGCGCTGCTTTATAACAAATGCCAAAAACGGAGACACACTTACCACTCATACTGTGTGCTATTGTGTGTTTGTTTGAGTGCGTGAGTGTGTGTGTGTGTGTGTGTGTGTGTTATTGTGGGGCAGTCATTTGCCATCAAAGTCCACAAGCGAACAATGGGCTATGTATGTAATTTTTATGCAACAAACATGAAATTTCTCTAGGGTGCACTATGTAAAACTGACAGATGAGTTTCGACAAATAAAATATGCTGATGACGAGGCAAAGTGAAAAAAAAACAAAAACGCAGCAGCAGCAACAACAACAATAGTTACATAGTAAGCAAAATATATATGCATATAAGTAGTGTTGCATGTGGCAACAGAAATTTAACTGCTTGACAAGTTTGGCTGCAATTTGCGGCGTCTGTTTAAAAAATGCAAACAAAGTTTCGCAAATCCCTGCGGGCTGCCGGAGCTTTTATTGTATGTGTTGCTGCCATTTTTGGTAAATTTATTTCGTTTAGAGAAGGTTTATAATGATGTTGGCATCGAGGCAAAGTTGCGAACAGAAGTCCTTCTGTAAAAAAAAATTACATTTAAATTTTAAAAGCAATTTGAATAATATCGTGCTAAACAATTTCATTTTATTTATATACCCTTGTTGTGAATAATGTAATGCTTGCCGTCTATCAAAAATTGTCAAATTGTTGATAGAGTTGCTTAATCAATACCGTTGAATATGCTATTTGCGCTCATTAACCAGCACAAATATATCCTTTGAGCAGAAATCTATTTGCGCAAATACTTGTTTAAAATCAGGCAAAGCACACACACAGAATTTCAACATTGCATTTGTGCCGACTGTGTGCCACAAAGCGAGCAGCACGAATGTAAACCAAATTCCCACTACCCACAAAACAGAAAAAAAAGAGCCCCCCGCCAGAATCCAGAGGCAGACGCCATGCGATGGCAAAAGCTAACCAAAGTGTTGCACTTACTACATTTAAATGAAATTAAACATATTTCCTGCAGCTGCAAAAGCGACAAACAGGCACAGACAGACAGACAGACAGGCAGGCAGACAGACACACAGACGGACAGGCAGACAGACAGACATCGGCACAGAATTAATTTGTGGAATGCGTCTGGAAATGTCGAGAGTGTGGCTGGCTGTTGCCGAGGGGCGTAGGTATGGGCGTGGGCTGCAGCGCGAATTTGTAAGATGAAAGTTTTGCGCTGGAAGCTTATCTTAAGTGTGCGCACGCTTTGCACTCAACTATTTTCGTCATGCTGAAGCGGCTGTAGGCAAAACTTTGCCGACAAATGTGGTTTCCGCTTATGTTTCACTCTCTTTCTCTTTGCGTATGTGTGTGTGTATGTGTGTGTGTGTGTGCGCTGGCTGTAAGTGGCGCCCGTATTCACGTTGTGGCATAATTTTCGCGCTTTTGTGCTCATAATTTAAATGACTTTTGAAAAGTTGCTCGAGTGGCGCCAGCGCCAGCCAAGAACAAGATAACCATAAAGGTATCCTTCGTCTATCCCGCTGTCTGTCTATATATGTTATAATTATGATAATGTTAGTGCGCCCAAGTGGGTTTTACATGCTTGTGGCAAAAGTTGTTAACCAAATTGAAGCGCACGGCTTTAAACATTGCGTATACGCAGCGTGTGCCACGCCATGCGAAACGTTTTGTCGCCAAAAAAGTTCGTCTGGCCATCATGGGAACAAACAAATTATGTGCTTGCTGTTAAAGTGGTGTGTGGGTCCTGTGGTGTGTGTGTGTATGTCTGTATGTGTATGTGTATGTGTATGTGTGTAGCTGGCGATTTAGTGCGCTGCGTGTCGAACTTAATTGGGCAACGTCAGAGCGTCAGCTCAAATCTAGGCAAATAACATTAAATTATGAAACAGTTTTCTTTGCGTCGCAAATATTTAGCATATTTTGTGTTAAATTTGTTTGCGTGTCTCAAACAATTAGCAACTACACACTCATACACACACACACACACACACACAGAAATATTGCGCGGTTTCAGCGGCTTTGGTTATGCAGTTTGTTATTGTTGCTGTAAAATAAACGCGCTCATTAACGTTTCGGGGCTAAAAGCCGGTAAGAGCCACATGTCAAACCCCACCGAAAAGCCGCCTAAAGCCAAAGCCAAAAGGAATTTGCATAAATGCGACGCTGACTGCGACGCTGGCGTTGTCGCATGTAATTGAGCGCTGAATTAGATGCAAATTGCTGAATAAAACAACAGTTATTTATGTTCGTTACTTTTGTTTGTTTTTCCATTTTGTTCGCATTCCGTTGTTGGTGTTATGCATTTGGTTTTCTCGTTTACTTTGCTTGGTATCAATCAACCTAAGTTTTATTATACTTATTTTCGCGTATTAATAAATGCTTACTATTAATCTCAATCTTAGGTCGACTTGGTTGTTGTGTGTGCTTGTTATTATTTATGATTTTTCTTGTAGCTAATTTGTTTATTTTACAATAGCTTAGCTTTACAACAGAGCGGCTGCACGACTAACATTAAATATACAAGTTAATGTAATTCATTTTACCGCAGACAATTTCAATTGCCTAGTTTTCTGCAGAAGCATTTCTTTTGTTGGGAATTATGTAAACTAAGAACATCAAAAATAAAGATCTATGAATGTGCTAGAGTATTAATTAATGATTTTTTGTTAAATACCTTGAAAATTTGATTCAATTTTTAAGCTTAATGCGCCGCTCTGTGAAATAAGTTTTATAGCTCAAAATAAATATTTTTGTCAGCTTTACATTTTATTAGGAAAACTTCCGTTGCAAGAGCTTGCGACATTTAGAATACTATTATTGATTTGATATCTTGTCTTACAGCTAAAATACAGGCAACAAACAACATAATTATGTATATGCATATTATATTTAATTACAACTATTTTCAATATCAATTTGTTGTTTTTTTTTAGCATTTATTTATAGGTTAATCGGCTTAAATCCGAGCACTGCAGATGACCTTTGCACATTTTTTTATTTACTATAGTTTTAATTTTTTTTTTATGTCAGAACTTGCTAATATTTATGCATTTTTTTTAATGTAATATAATGGATTTTATGTCTGTTTCAATTATTATGAGCTGTATTCTAGCAATTTATCGGGACAATAAATATATTTAATTATTGTTAGCTATTTACATAAAAAGGCAGTTTATTTACAGCTTTTTTAATTTGTGTTTGTTTTTAAATGTGTGTTTAAAACTCAGAGTTGTATTTACATATATTTATTAAGGAAAAACAAATTCAATTAGTATTGACGCTAAATAATTAGTGATAGATGTTTAATGAACTCTAACTGTAAATTAAATGAGGTGTAAAATCAAAAATCATAAACCATAAATTAATGAAAATTTATTGAAGGCGGTTTTAGTGTGCACATATTGACAATATTCGAAAACCTCAATATCCTGACAGTGTGTCCTTGCTGGGAGCTGCGTGCTTGCTTATGGCTTGCATTTATAATACTTAATTAGCTGTATTGTTCGAGATAATAGCAGAAGCGACAATACATGTATGCAAGTCAACACGCGCATGTCCTTATTTGCTCAACAACAACAATAACATCAACAATAACACGAAATGTGGACACAATGAGCACACGGAAACTACAACAGACAAAAAAGGAAAAATATTAAATCAAATTAAATAAAATAAAAAGAGAATAATTTTTTGTTGCTGCATTATTGACGATTCATATATTACTTTGAATGCACTCATTTATCTATGCGTTGCAGTTGAGTCCCTTCCCTGTACAGCAAAGTTAACAGCGGTTAACAGCAGTCATGTGCCGTGCATCTTGGCCAGCCAATTGGCACGTCCTGCAGGCTTTATGCAACACGGGCTTAAATTATTAAAACCTTATATACAGTTACGCCAACAACGTATGACATAAGTACAGTAAATTGGCTGCACTTTAACCCCGCACTATGACACCAAAATACACGCACACACTGCATATATGTATGTATGTATATAATGTATGTGTGTATGTGTGGCCAGGACTTCTCTTTTCGATTTTGTATGTTGGTATGCAAATGTGCCATATATCTTCTGGCCTTAATACCATTTTTCTTGCCGTCCGTCGCTGCTGTCGATAGCGCTGCGTCTGTCGGCGTCCGTCCGTTGCTGCCTGTGGGCCGCCTTTTGGGTGCACCGTCATTGGTCTGCATGAATTATGACCAATAAATTGGACATGTTAACTGTGTGTCATTGTGTGCGGGGCCAGGAGACCGCAGGCCACGCAATTTTATGTTGAAATTAATTGCGAGTATTTCGCGCAGACAACGTTTCAGCGTGTTTCGGCCGTTCGACCCGAATGTCGTTCCACGGGTCGTATGAGTAATAATATAATTAGCATGTGCATTTATTAAAAAATGATGAAAGCGCACAAAAGCGCACAAGAGCCAAGCGCACCGAAAAGCCAGTAAGCAATAATTTGCCCCGAATACGAAAAATCAAGCCAATAGCCACCGTGAACGCAGCCGGAATATTATTATTGCATTTCCCCTTTCAGTTGCTGTTGTTGTTTGTTGTTTGTTGTAGCTCGGGGTGTGTCAGTTGAGAGGTGAGCGTAATGCAATGTAAAAATTAATGACATTTTTAAGGCGTTTTAATGCCTCGACCAAACATGCGCCAAATGGCAACAACTGCAAAACCTTTACGGAGTAGTTGGAGCAGTGTGCTGGCGCTGGAAGCAGGACCTTTTGGGCATGGCAGCACAACGCAATTTCGCCATAAATTGTATGTTTGTTGAGCTACGAGAAACTTAAGAAGTAATATCCACAATAAAGTTAAGATAATAATAAATTCAATATATGTGAAAACCAACATGAGCATTGAATTAATAACGAAAAACATGTGAAACAAAAAGACAACAAAATATTTTTATTCTTTACCACAATTTTAACGCTTTTTAAGGAAAAAAAAAAACACATTTGCTTAATTGCCCGGATAAGCAAATGTGCAGTAATTAATGATGACCTTAATAGATTGAGTTACTATTGCATGACTTTATGACTTTAGGAATAACACTGTTTATAGACTGAAAGTAATTCAACGTTCAAATTGAATTAAGGATGCAATATGTATTTCCTTCATATGTGTACATTTCAGATATGATAAATTCTGATATATGCAATTCTATAAACGCCAAAGTTTTCTTTAATTATTAAAATTTCAAATGCATAAATTGTATATTCGTTTGACAGCAGCCGAGTACAGCAACAAATTGTTTTAAATCTAGGAAAAGTTTTGCTTTTAGCTCCACAATTTTGCATTTACCGTTTACAAAATAAAATGCTAAGCTCTAAAAAAAAAACGACAGAGAAGCAAACACAAAATCCAAACAAGTTAAGTATATGCTTGTATTTAACAATAAATTATGTATATGTATTATACAAATACGTTTCATTCACTAGCTTGTTTGTGAGAGTGTGTGTGTGTGTTTGTTTTTTTTAATAGTTTTCTTATGTATATGTTTTCATATTTTACAAAGAATGAGCATTTATTGTGGTTGGCTGCTGTCTGCCAGCAAAGATGACAAATATTTGATTTCTGCTTATCATTGTCAGTTTCTCATTTTACAAATTTTTAAACAACTCGACGATAAGCAACTCAATTCAATGTGAGTTATTCATTTAATATTATTGCAGTTTTAAACGTCATTATTAATATATATAAATGTTTGGTTTTCAGTTTTCAGTTTGCTTTAGCTGTGAAATGAATACACCTAAAAGCTACCCCTTATAACCCCCTGTGTGACCCTTTGGCTGCATTTTACAAATGCCTTTTATATCGTATTGAGTAACTAAATTATTGATTTCAAAGCGCAGCGATGAGCAGCACAAATCCTGCGCTCAGCCAACTCAGCCTATGCAAAACTCCAGCTGCAATTACCAATTTCACAAAAAATGCAGCACAAAGTGGATAAAAAATAAATATATATATATATATATATATAGATATGTATATATGGGTCGTATGAAATTATCATGAGTTAGGCATAGATTTGTATGCATTGAACACACTTACCCGTGGAGCCCGAGTACTCATTCGGTGGACGTTCCGTATAGAACACGCTCTTGCCTATCGCCAAGGAGTTCTTGCTGCCGCCGCTTAGCGCTGAGAGGCTATTGCCAGCGGTGCCACCGCCGGGCAGTAAGGACGTCTGCATCGATGACGATGAGGCGGCCGAGGATCCAGAGCCCGCCGATGATGAGCCAGGTGTGCCACCTGCATACAAATCGTTTTTCATTGCATACACATCCGTTTGTAGCGATTTCGTTGTATCGTTCCGTAAGGATGGTATAATGTTGCCTATAAGAATGGATAAGAAAAGTAGAATTAGCACGAATGGTTTGTTTATATCATGGCTATTGCCACTACCACTATCTACAGCAGCTAATAACTCAATAGCAAGAAAACTTGCCCCACAAACACACACGAGCAACTTGTACAACCTTTGCTGACATGGTTTTCAAGTTAAATTGTGTGGAAATCTTGTGGCAGCCACTTGGCTGCGATACAAAAATTTACCACGCAGCTCACACACACACACACACACAACAATAGCAACAAGGGCAGACACACATACACATGCATTGCTATATATGCACACATACACATGCATAAATAGATATAACACATCCTTTGTTGCCTGGCCGGATTAAGTTCCATTGCAGCGGCAGTCGTCGCCGCGCCAGTCACTTTAAATAAAATATGTTTGGTCCTTTTTGCAGAGTTGTTGCTGTTACTGTTGCTATTGTTGTTTGCTGCTGGCAGAGCCGGCAGTGTTTCAAATATGTTTCCAACCTAATGCCCCCGAAAATCCCTAGCAGCATAATCCGCAGCATATTGCTTTGGCCTGGACTTGCAGCCGCTGGAACACACACACACAACTTGAAAGTGTGTGTACTTTTCTGCTCGACTTGAGTTGCCAAAAGCCCCCCCACGTTGAAATAGTCAAAAGTGCTTTGCTTTACCTTATCTCTTTCTAGTGGGCGTAGCGAGACCCCAGCTTGTGTGTGTGTGTGAGTGTGTTTGTGTATGTGTGGATAGCTAGATGAGTATATGTGTGAGTGTGTGTATTTGGCTCTGTCTGGCTTAGCTGCTACTTTCGCAGTTTTGTTTGTGGCTCGCCGTATCCTGTATCCTTCCCGGGACTCACAGTGTGATTGTGAGTGTGAGCATGAGTGCGGGTGTGGATGTGAATGTGAGTGTCGGTTTGCCGGTGTGACTTTCACAGTTTATGCAATGCTCGTCGCCCGTCGCTCGACGCTATACTGGATGTGTTAAGCACAAAAGCGAGCATCATTCGAACCAATCCCCCAACATTGAACCGCACACAGCCAGCCACACATATATCAGTACATCAGCTTGGCTGATACTATACTTACTCTCCCTGGACTCGACGGTGGTGTGCGTTACTTGTTTGGATGGTGTTGATGGCAAAGGTATTTCTGTAAAATAAAATGGAATCGAATAGCAGCGCATAATTAATTATGGTAAAATCAAAGAAATGAGTTTTTAATTTCATGTATATACAAGTGTAAAATATGAGTATGTATGTATAATATATAGTTGCCTGCCAGCAGCGTTGTGGTTTTGTGTGTCAAGTGTTGGCAGTGGAAAGGTCATAATATTCCTTCAGCCGGCACTCTAGAGCGCAATCGTTCTCAGTTTAAAGAGCTTAAATTAAAAGCGTATATTTACTTAGTGTGTGTGTGCAAGTATGAGGCCTTGATTAGTCACATTATTTGCAAAATATGGGTCAACACGCTCTACACACATAATCACATATGTGCCGTATAATTACACCTTAGAGTATGCTATATAATCAACCATAGAAATTTATTGGAATGTTTAGTGCATGAATATATGTAAAGAATTTCAGAGAGCCATTTGTAATTATGACCTCAGACCAAACCAAATACGTATCGATTATCTTTGTGACGACAATCTTGAAAAAAACCAACGTTTTTTGAAAGTTTTTCATATGAAATCCTACATAATCAAAACATCTGTGTGAGCTGCAGCTCTCCAGCAATGAAAGCTACTTTTCTTTCAGCTATTCCTTTAAGCGAATGCATTGGCAGCCGCCAGGACTCTTCAACTACAACTAAGTGATGCATAAAATATAAATAAATAAATAGCATCCACTAAAAATAAACGAAACCCAGACAGTAAGGAACGTCGGGTCTGTCTAGCATAGGCAGACAGGCTAAAAGAGGGTTGCGTTTCTGCTCGATACAAAGTCAAACAATTCCAGAATGTACATTTTTTTTATGTTTATGTTTACGTTAATGGTGAATGTATCTACGTGTACTGATGCTGCTGCTGCTGCTTAGCAGATCCAAATTCAAACTCAAGCCCAATGCCAGAGCCAAATCCAGAGCTAGAACCTGACACACTTGAGCTCCGTTGGTGGCCGCTCGTTTAGTTTTACGCTCCAGAGCTCAGTGTACATATCGGAGCTAGACGAAACGCTGCTTCACTTCTCCTTCTTCATCTTACCACAACCTTGGTGCTGCTCGGCCTGCATGTGGGCGCTGGAGCGGCACATAGGTAAAAGCTTTTGGCAGAATTTGTAGCACAAAGGGCGCTCGATATTGCATTGGCTGTGTGTGTGTGGGAGTATGAGTGTGGATGTAGCTGCAGGTGTAGGTGTATGTTTGCTGCAGTGTGCACTTAGGCTACCAATACAAATGCACTTACCATAAACACGTATAGAACCTTCCGTTTCCCCAAGTGAATTCTTTGAGATGCATCGATAGTTACCAAAGTCGCCATATTGAAGGTTTCTTATCGTCAGTTTCATGTGAGCGCTTTTCAAGATAGACAGGTTGGAGTGAGACAAAAAAATATTAACGTGAAAAACCAAATGGCAAGTTCTAAAAGTCGACTCAACATAAAGAAAATATTTTTTTTTTATATATATATAGCTCTTAACGAAGCTGGCATTTTGATATTAGATTATTTTGTTGGAAAAAAAACATATTCTAAAAATGTTTTCTTGATTAAAATGTTAAAAATTTGCACTTTTTGGCTCGATTTTACGTGTCAAGTGTAGATTTTTTTTAATTCTGGCGAAATGTTGACGATACAGTTTTCGGGAACATATAAATTAAGTATGGATTGGCTTTTTGCTCATGACCCAGCTGCCAGTCGTGTAGGTGAGAGCGCAAATGCAAATAATAAATATTTAACAACACGACTTTGAGGAATCTAAAGATGAGGCTCTGATGCTTTGACATACCGATATGAGTTCTCAGTGTAGTCGGTCTTATACTTCTTGCTCGGCAATACCATCACAGAATTGTACACCCAATATATGATGGCTCTGCAAAATAGACAGCAACAGCATTTTCATCATATTTATCATAGAATACGAAAACAAAGAGCATATGAAAATCAAAGTGCGACAGACCGAATGGAAAAATCGACGAAATGAGAAATTCAACGCTACATAAGAATTTAAGAAAATAAAGTGAACTAAATATGAAAAGCTTACTTGGGATGCGCCTCGGTGTGGCAATCGATGGTTACATCTGTGCCAGCTGGCGCGCCAACAAGTTGATTCGGCACCCAAATCATTGGCGAGACTATTTGAAGAGACGCGAAGCGAAGTGAAAGTAGAGAAATGTTAGTAAAGTGAATGATACCCGAGGGAAATGCGAGATATATAAATGAATGAACGGTTGTGGGTGTTTGTGTGCGTGTGTGTGTGTGTGTATACAAGGTGGTATTGCATTGAAAGCGATTGGCCAAAGCACGCATAAGCTGCAGTATTACGTATGTTCAATATGTGTCTGGCTCGGTTTTTCCACTGCTCACTTCGCCGTTCTCAGTTTTCCCCGCGTTCATGTGTTTTTCGTATATGTGTAGGTAAAGTCGCCTGTCTGCCAAGCTCAAAATGAAAGTGCAATGACAAAGCTGAAAAATGTATACTAGACATGGCAATGAGACCAGGTTGGGTTACCAGGTTGGGTTCTTAACAAAAAAAAAAAAAAAAAAATAGAAAGAAAAATGATGTTAAGTTTAACCGGAAGTACGTGTTATGGATTTTGTATTTAATATTGACTAGTCGGGGCTAGCTCAACTAGCAACTCATTGTGTAATAGTCTCTTCAAATTAAAATGTTTATATGTCTTGGATATATGAAAGTTTAGCCATGCGAAGAATCTAAAATTGTGCTAAAATTTCAGAATTCACAGATGATGAATACGTATAAATTTTGGCAAACTGCAACATAACTACCTCATTTTGGAAACGCTGCTGGATGCGTGCCATGGGGGCTTATAGTAATATAAAATTCTACCAATTTAGGCCGCTTTTCTATCTACCTTTTATCAATATATACAACTATTTAGTTCTAGTGTTCCCTTCTGCCATCCTCCATCAACAATTTTCGCACATTTCCCTCAGTTTGCCCCAGTTCTGTGCACAATACGAACACGAAATTGAAACAGCGAACGGCTTGTTGGAAATTTAAACGTGCACTCACAATGACTACCTGTAATTCGAGAAACACCACCAAACACAACCCGAAGCCCACACGCACAAAACCGTTCATAATAAAATAGAAAAAAAGGTGGACAAAAAAAAAAGAAAAAAAAAAAAGAAAAAAACGAAAGCGCCGTCAAAGTCATACGTGCAATGCCGGCAAGTGACTTTATTGCAGGTACGTGACGTGAATTATTGTCAATGTGTAGGCATGGGGCATGGGGCATGAGGCATGGGGCGCGATGCTCGTATGGTAGGTATGCAGCAGAAACTCGTTAGGATTAACAAGCGTTTACTTGGTACATAGAGCGTGCAACAGCCGAACTAACACTCATATATCCAGCATACAGCATACAGCATACAACTTAAAGCATACAGCATAGATATATCAGCAGCTGCATTAGCGAGCAGCAAACCAGGTCGCTAGCTGCGTTTGTCACGAGCCCAGACGCGAGCATGCAGTTAAATTGATGAGCAGTGGAGCAGCTACGCTTCCTCATGCTGCCGACTCTTGACTGCCGACTCCTGCCTCAATGGATGAACTGCCGCATAGATACTCCTCCATCGCCGCAGACAGCGAGTCGTTGTCATCGTTCTCGTTAAGTGCACGCGCGTGTTACAGCCATGCCAATATAAGGCGACCAGCTCTGAGTCGATATATCTATTATATGTGTACGTCCGTATATAGATAGTTTTCATTTGGCTCAAGTCTTATGACTTTTGCTTGTCAAATACACACACACACACACAGAGAGAGACACACACACACATGTATACCACTATATACTGTCTATGTAAGCTGTACTTACACTCCACATCCAATATGATGCGCTTCGAGACGGAGGGGGGCACTCCGTTGGTGGCTATGCACAGATAGGCTCCCATCTCATTGCGGCTCACTTTGGTCAGCGGCAGCACATCGCCATCGTAGACTAGAACTGATTGTTGTTGTTTTTGTTGGGTTTGATGTTTGCCGGAAGGAAGTGTCCGCACCATGGAAATAAACGTGCAAAGCATAGAGAATTTTCAATGAGCCAAAAGCCACATGAATCTGAGTGGGTGGTTTGAAAAGTTCAGTTAATAATGCCAGCAAATTTAACAATTTACACAATCTAGAAACGTAAGTTTAGATTTTAGATTTAGATATTAGTCAATTGTATTTAAATTTCATGAATTAAACATTCTTTCGCTGTTTATGTTTTCGATAAATAACAAATTTGTATGCTGATATTTATAACTTTAAAAGCAACCCCTGTTTGACTGTTTGAAACTCACTCCCATGTGTACCTTTCTTCTTTTTCTCTACGGCTATTTCCTCGCCATCCTCTCGACGCCAAATGATTTTTGGCGTTGGGAATCCATCGGCGCGACATGTCATGTTGATGTTTTGGTTTTCACGCACTGCCACTGAGGATGGGGTGCTCTCAATGTCCAATATGTTGGGTGGCACTGCGGCGAATGAGGTAGACAGTAGGCGTTTGATTGTTGGCTGGTTGATTGTCTGCGCTTTGCTACTTACCCACGACCTGCAGATAGCCGACCTGGCTAATCATGGGATTGGTGTTGACCTGACACATGTAATAGCCGCGATCATCCTGATGCGCCTGATTAACGTGCAACAGCCACGTGTTGTCCGCATACGTGATGCTGTAGCGTGGTATGCGTGAGATCACATGACGGTGTATCGTCAGTATCATCTGGCGATCTATGTGTATCCATGCGACCTAAAAGCAGAACAGAACACCAATGACAATCCATATATAAATACATACACACTTCACGCTGATTCACACACACGTCCACAACTAGTTATAATAAATGAACGCCTTGTTCTGACGCATGAGAGCCACTAACAAAAAAGGAGGAAAAAAAAAACACAACTTGACAGCTGTTTCCGCTTTTTTAATACACTTTTTCTTTCTAGCTTCGTTTGCTTACATTGCGTGTGACACAAGGGGGCATGGGCATGTCCTGGCAAGGATTTTGCAGCCACGCTGCAAACTTTTCAAATTTTCTTTCTGCCCAGTGACAGCAATGAGTTTCTCGTTTTCAACTCAACAATAGCCACACACACACACACCAGGCTCGCTCCTTGGCTGGGCTGGCAATGTTGATGAAAGTCTAATAAGAGCCAGATAGCAGCTGTCTGAGACTGAGACTCTTAGACGACGACCAGCCAGCCGTCCCGTGGACTCGCATGTCCAGTGTCGAGGACAGCCAGCAGTGAAACTGGCAAGGGACAGTGTTTTATATTAAGTTGATATGGCGAGTAAATATTTGTGATTTGTTATGAACGCACGCTGTGATAGCAAAACTAAGATAAATGATAAGTGATTTTCTAGTTATTCTCTTGCTCTCGGGTCGGGAAGGCCAAGTCCTCTGGGGGCTTTACTTTTTCAATGAGCTCCAGCTTGCGAAGTTGCAAACTGTTGATTCTTCTTTATTATTATACTATATCCATGTGGATCTATTTAAAGTAGCGACTTCTTTTTATCAAACTGAAAAAGTTGCAGAACAGAGTTGTTGCACAGTTGCTTTGCCTAGGCCACAACTTGTCATAGACACAACATCACGTGTGGCTATAGCTGTCAATTCAACACAGACAAACACACTGCGCCAGTTTATGACTGTCCCTGGCTTTGGGTGCGAGGGAGCAATTCCCGAAATTGATTTTAGACAGTGTCGCCAGCCTGAAAGTTTATTGAATGGGAGACATTGTGACGTTGGACACACGATTTATGACATGCCCAAAGCGTCCGAACACTACTCACCTTATAGCCACCCAAGTGCTCGACCACACAGGGCAGATTCGCATCACGGCCAACGGCAACGGTGACATTTGGTATTGGCTGTGCGAAGCGGGGCTCATCCATCATAACTGTAAATGAAGAGCGGCATAAGCAAGTCGGTTAGTTAATGTGCAACATGATCATCAGCAGACACATCTAAGCAACAAAGGTCAGAAATGCAACAAACCGAACACAAATGTACTCTTATGAAAATTAACAAGAAAACATATTAAGAATTATCAATACTCTATTTATTAGTTTCATGAAAAATAGCGATTAGTTTTTACTTAACTGCAAGGACTCATATTTCAAATAGAGAACGGACTGAATCCCATTAGCCACACAGTTTCCAAAAATGAGTGCACCCAACTATACTAAAGTACTTTTACAACTTTGGTGTAATAAAATGACTTAATATGCATATATTCTTAAACTGCATGAAAAAGTTATGCAATCCAATGCAAAATATATGCAGATGAAGGAATCTGCATTTTGCAGCAGTTACAGGAAGTCCATGACCCGCAGGCCAAATATAATCAACGGCTACATTAGTGTCATTATGAAATAATTTAACAAAGCAATTTTTTATCTTGCTGGGAGCTATAGCTGGAACTGGAGCTGGAGCTGGAGCTGAAGCCATACTCGGGAGTCTGTAGTCCGTAGATGGTAGCGGCAACCGCAACTGGTCCTTGGTTGTTGTTCTTGCTTGTTGCAAATGGTACTTTTGTTTTTCTATGCGTTCATTTCGTTTGCTGTTTTTCCAGTGGAAATGGTGCACAAAAGCAAAACACCAGCCAGACTGTTAAACACGGCAAGTGGATGCCTGCCAACGGCAGAAAGAGGATTGCAATGGGGCTTGTTATCTGCGTCACGCAGTTGGCGGTGTCGGCCCGCCCAAAAATTCCACCTGGCCTCTGACTATGCTGTAAGCGGCAACAAGGCACGACACAGCACGGCACGGACTCGCATTTCGACACGGACCTCTGGCATTGAAATTGAATGCAAGCCGCTTGATGCCATCGTCGTTTCGGGGAATTTGAGGTCTCATTTTACTAATTAAATTATGACTCGACTCGACTCGACAGTTCCGACACCAAACACCTCTAACGGCTGTCTGTGCAATGCTTTGTGAATGTTTTGAAATTTAAGGCACCTAGTCTAATAATTGGACAAGTGAAGGGTTGTTGAAGGTCTTAAGCTTCAACAGCTTTAAAGTGCAAGCAACTAAAATAAATTTGTGTAATTAAAGACATTAATAATAAAATGATTAAAAATCACCGTTGCCCAAAAAAGTATGCTATGAAAAAACTATAATCGACTATTCTGGTCATATCATTTTGTATAAGCCCAATTATAACAATTATTTGTGTATTTGAAAAGTCGATTTAAGATTTATTCCAACGATTTGCTTTTTAGCACTTACCATGTGTCACTAAGTTGGTCATATAGATGAGAAACATAATCCGCCGATTTGTGAAGCGGCTTGGAAATATGTTGAGCGCAATTAGCAAAAGTTTAATTACCGTAATGATAAACATTTTGCTCTGTGTGTTTAATCGGAATTAGTTAAATAGACACACACACACACACACACACAGATACACAACAACACACCGAATCGCGATTATTGTATGCGTTTAATTACGCAACGTTTGGTCAACTTTTTTCACAGCAATTTTCATATGCACGTTTTCTATTATTTTCCATTCATTTTCCGCATTTGTTTTGTGGTATTTTTTGTTTTTTGTATTCGTATTTTTTCTTCTACTTCTTGTGTTTTATGTGTATTTGATTTATGTAATTTAATTTGCACACACAAGTGAACACTTTAGCATTTGGATATTATACGCAGGGAATGGCAATTCAAATTTCATTTAGCGTAAAGCTTTAAAAATCGCTTAATTCACTTGACGCCCCGACACGCATTGTTGTTGTTGTTAATGTTGTTGGTGCTGTTGTTGTTGCTACTGCTGCAGATGAAACAATGAAAATTGAAAATAAAAAATGCATACACTCGAGTGGCAAGAGGGGGCTGGGAGGGATTTTCGCAGAGGCGCTTGCGATTTCAGGGATTATAGCATTTATTATTATTATGGCACTCGCATACTCAATTGTTGTTCTTCTGTGTGGACTTTACAATGTTGTATATTTGCCTGTGTCCGCGTGTTTGGGCTTGACTGACTACAACAACAACAATAACAACAACAACAACAACAATTGCAGCTCTTGTCGCTTATGGGTTATGAGTCGTTTGTTTCTTGTTATTGTTGTTGCTTTTGTTGGGTTTTTCGGTTTGCAAAGTTCATTTGACTGCTTTTGTGTGTCACTGTCTGTATATGTGTGTGTGTGTGTGTGTGTGTTATAAATGCTACATTTATTATTAATAGCACTGTATTCCGGACCAGAGATGTGTATACAAATGAACGCGTTGCATTGATGTCGCTATTTTATGACCACTACGCATTGCTGTTGTTGCTTTTGTAGTTGTTGTGGTTGTTGCGTTTATTGCTGTTATTGCTGGTAGTTGTTGTTGCTGCTGCTGTCGTTGTCATAACATGGCCACATTTTCATTGCGCCTGAATTGTTATTTTTCGTTCCGCTGCCATCTCGGATTGTTGGGCAATTTTACGCTACCAGAGGGCATAACAACTATATCAGTCAGTTTATGCTGACATATTAAAAGAACTGCTTAATTAGAATCCGATATATACGACCATGGAATTGGGAAAATATCTCGTTAAATAACTGATTTAACAATGATTTATTCTGGCAGGTGAATTTAAATCATATAATGAAGTCTGCAAGAAAATAGTTCTGATGTTGACGATTAAAAGAGACAATGGAGAATAGTTTAGATACTGCTCTTGGGTGAAGATAATCAAATAAAATAGAATAAGAAAATTGATAGCTATAATTGGCAAGTAAAAAATTTAAAAAACCAAAGAATGCTATTGAAAAATATCAGTTAAAAAATCCAGCAGTTCTTTTAATTTTACCACAAAACCAGCTAACAGAGAGCATTGAGGCCTCTGCTACTTAATTTGCCAGTTGGTCGCTGTCCTTACGTGTTCTCGCATAAATGCACTATAACTGACTGATATGTTTGGGTAACTGTGGCGCACTGTGACTTGACCAGTTCAATTTTGGAAAATGATTTATGAATGCACATGACATATCAGCATCCTGCAACTCCTACGCCCCGCTGTTGCAGACTTCGCTGCCCCGCTGTTATAAACTGCCAATGGTAGTACTCCAGTTGTGGCATCAAGACATTAATATTTGATTTAACTGCCCGCTTTTTTTTGGCATCAGTTTTGCTTGACTTGCATATTTATTTTACATATGCATTTATTAATGAAACGGGTAAGCGTATAATTCCTTTTTTGTCTGCTGTTTAAAAAGTATTTAAAACTTTTGACGTAATATTTACGTAGTAAAATAAAATAAAGTGTAAACAACAGGCCAGCCATCGTTTTCATCTCAGCTTGTAGTTAAATATCATTTTAGTAGCTTCTCTTTTAATTGTTTAAATCGGTTGCATTAAAAATAATTGACAGTCTATGGGACAATGCATTTATGTTACTTCTATTTTGTTTTTACTGCAATTTATATATAATGAGATAATTAAAAACAAAAAGTTGAATTATCGTTTGAATATTGCAATAAATAGGTGAAACGAAAATACAAAAAAGTATTTTAAATTGTTCAATTGCGCGTAATGGCAATAAAAATATGTATTATTCTGTTTAAAACTCGCTCAGCAAAGTATGCAATGCAATTTTAAACATCCATTAATTTAATTGACAAAATGAATCACTAACGAATATCTCACACTCAATTCACACACATTTTATACAATGAAATGAAATTTATTTTTATTATATTTCAAATTATTGTGCATGGTGCGGTCTTAATTTTAGTCAGACATTCAATCGTTATGGTTTTGTTTTTTATCAATCTTATTGGTGATCAATTTAGTTTTATGGAGCATTTAGCTTTTATGTTCTTTAATCTCTGCAACATACATAGTTTTCTTCTGCAAATTGTTCTTATTTTGAGTTCCATTTCAGTCTTGAATATTCACAAGTACAACTAAAAATCAATTTCAATGACCTCCAAACAGCTGTCACAAATTTACATATGTCGCGTCAACAAAATTCTGGCAGAAAGTAGAAATGTGGCAGCCATAAATACATGTACTAGCCACAGCACTGACTAAGGGGGCGTGGTTGGTTGGGTGAGTGCGTGCGAGTTTGTATGTGTGTCTGCTGATGTGTGTGTATGTGCGTGTGTGCAAGTGAAGGCTGCTGCTTCTGCTGCTTTCGAAATGGGCGTTTTGTTGGTTGCTGCTGACATTTTATGGCTGACGACAATGTTTTTGCCTTCAGCCATGCTTCATCGCTCCCTCCTTCCCGCCTGCCAGCAGGCAAAGTAATTAGGTTGAAATTACAAATTATGGGTTCATGTAGCAGATTATAGCGACAAAATCAGAGAAACGCACATGTCTGGAAATTACAGCATTTATTTTCGACCATGTAGAGCAACGCGTCGACTGGAAACCTAAATTTTCGAAATGGACAACAACGCAAGGGAAGCAACAAGAACAGAAGCAAGGACGACAACAACAGTAGCAACAGCAGCTCGTTAAAAAGCACTTAGGAGCAGGCAAGGGGACAGGGGAATGGGTGCAACAAATCGGTACGTCAGTTGGGTAATTATGATGCAATCAGTTTGAAAACAAATGAACAGGACTAAAAATCACAACGCACAACTGCCGCACAACCCTTGACATATATAAATGAACGTTAACTCTTATAACAAACTACAAATCTCAGAAATTTTCAATTTCATTCGCACACTATGCATTATGCTCAAAGTTGTGTGCGGTTGAGTGCAAAGAAATGGCATTCGAAGACTGTCATCTCGACTGCATCTCGAGTGGCGGCACAGACTGACAGATACTGAGGCAGCTGACAGCCGTCAGTGCAAATGGAATTGCACGACAGCAGTGATGATGGGTGAAAAGAGGTTGGATGTGTCTGTCGAAAGAGAATGGATAATGTGGCATACAGTCCGCAGACGTAACCAA